TGAGGTGGTTCGGACATGTAGAGAGAATGGAGCGAAACAGAATGACTTCAAGAGTGTATCAGTCTGTAGTGGAAGGAAGGCGGGGTAGGGTCGCCTAGGAAAGGTTGGAGAGAGGGGGTAAAGGAGGTTTTGTGTGCGAGGGGCTTGGACTTCCAGCAGGTATGCATGAGCGTGTTTGATAGGAGTGAATGGAGACAAATGGTTTTTAATACTTGACGTGCTGTTGGAGTGTGAGCAAAGTAACATTTATGAAGGGATTCAGGGAAACCGGCAGGCCGGACTTGAGTCCTGGAGATGGGAAGTACAGTGCCTGCACCTGAAGGAGGGGTGTTAATGTTGCAGTTTAAAAACTGTAGTTTTAAAGCACCCCTCTGGCAAGACAGTGATGGAGTGAATGATGGTGAAAGTTTTTCTTTTTGGGGCCCCCCTGCCTTAGTGGAAATCGGCCAGTGTAAATAAAAAATAAAATAAAAAATATTAATAAATGTTCACATAGAATAAAAATATATAGGGGGTGGTAGGAAAAGAAAATATTCAAACAGCTCGGGGAGACCTTGAGTTTTCTCTGAGGTACGTTTATTGTCTTCTCTGAGGACGAGGGTCCCCTTCCAGCTATGGAGGTGGTACTTCCCTATAATTTTTTATATATATATATATATATAATATATATATATATATATATATATATATATAAAATTAATATAATAATATATATATATATATATATATATAATATATATATATATATAATATATAATAAAATATAATAATAATAATAATAATAATAATAATAAAAATAAGTTTCCCTATAATGTCTCTCTATACATATGGAAGCTCTTTACTACTCTAAGTAACTCACCATCTATTCTATATATCTGCAACATCTGTAGCATTGCTCTCCTTTCCGCTCTACGATATGCCTTTTCTAAATCCAAAAGTGAAATGAAAAGTTGCTTACCTTTATCAGAGTATTGTTCAGCTATGTAAACACTTGGTCTTCACATCTCCAACATTCCTACATCTTCCTTGTTTCTCTGAAATCCTACTCTATGTATTACCCATAATTTTTTCAATAATAATTATAATATACATGCTAATTTCCTTAAATTCTTACACTCTCTTTTATCTTGTTTTCCTGTATACATGCAAACTATGCACGCTCACTGCCACTCCTCAGGCACCTTTTCCCTTTCATGCACATATTGAAAAAAATGCACCATTAATTCCAACACAATATTCCCATTTGCTTTTAATATTTCTGTCTTAATTCCATCTATCCCAGCTGCTTTGGTCCCTTTCATTTATCCGATAGTCTCACGCATCTCCCACACACATCTGGCTCTTCCTCACTCCTCAGTGGTGCTATACCTCCTTGTCCAATACAACAAATCATTGTCTCGCTCTCTTCAGCATTCAGCAACAACTCAAAATAGTCCCTCAATCTTTTCCGTTCGTCACTTCTACATCTAATGGTACACCTCATTTGTTTTTAACTATAAATGCATTTGTTATCTAGGCTTTTGCAACTTTTTGATCTCACTCCCAAACATTTTTCTTATTCTCAGGAAAATTTGTTGCTAAAACCTCTATCAGTGTCTCATTAGCTGTCCTTTCGCATTCCGTCCACCTCTCTCTCTTGCTCTCCATATACTCCTCCCTCCGCATATCACTTATTCATTTAAAAATCTTTAATTTGCCAATTTATTTCTCCCCATCCTCCATTTCTTGACATTCCATCAATCGCTCCTCATTCCTCCTGCACCCAACCTCCTCCTATATCCACAAACTTTTATTGCGCAATCTAACACTGCATTAGTCAATCTACCATATTCCTCCTCTACCTGATATCTTACCCTATCTCCTGTTTAAATTAATAAACTTATATTTCTCTCTTGCACATCGATGATTTTGTCTTTGTTTCCCATCTATATTTTACTCTCATTGTAGCTTCAATTAAATAATGATATGGTATATCAGCCTCCACTCTAAAATCAGGCAGTCAAAAGTCTACCCATCAACCTATAATCTACTAATACTGTTCCAACAAACTGCTAATATCACGCCCCACATCGTACCTCGTATACTTATATATCTAGGAAAGTGTAGGTAAATTCACTTTTTTTATTTCTTTCGCATCTATTTTTGTCCTGAAAAGCTGTCAGCTTGTTAGGAAAAAGAAGATAATCCTGATTCTCATTAGACCAGGGAGAGAAAATGTGCTTACATAGCAGATATCTATTCAACTTGTTAGCGGGGGAAGAAAGAGCGAGAGAGGAAGGGAAGAGTTAGAGAGAGAAGTTGAAGAAAATGAGAGGCAAAGAAAAATTAGTGTGAGAGAGGAATAGGAGAGAGAGCGAGATGGAGAAACAGAAAAAGAGAGAGAGAAGAGAATTGCTGATTGTCTCTCATTTCCCCCTACAGGGCCACCTCCTCTGTGATAGAGAGACAGTCTCCGGATGCCAAGAAAACAGAAAACTTCGGTCTTACCGATTTTGGCAAGGTAAGTTTAATCCCAAAATGAATAATTTTTTTCCTCCTGACTTCCTGACCAAGAGTGTTGCCGTTTAGTGCCCCATCAATTACACTACCGCTAGCAACTCCCCCACCCTTATCCCCCATGCATCTACCCTGTCCTTCACCCGTTACCCCACAGCTGGCGTCCTCCCACCCCTACAATGTCAGCAATGTCACAAGAAGTGCCGAGTTTCCAGGAATCTCCACGACAGAGCCAACGCCGAGGAATCCGTCCACGAGTCATCTGCCAGGTGTGCCACAGGGAATGTGCACTCAATCCCTCAACTGGCAACATCCGTGCACACAGTGGTTGTCTAGACTCAAGGAGAGCTCCAAACGGGAACAACCAACAGTCCCTCTCAGCAGACAGAGCTGACAGCTACCATGACTTCACCTCTACAGAGGACCTAAAATCTGCAATCAAATTGACATCCACAAGGACGCTGACACACATCCCCAAAGCAGCTCGCCCTCATGCTGCTAGCAAATTCGCTGGCCTCTTGAAGAAAGTCAACGATGCTCCTGCTAACAACCTACTGCTATTTGGCAATGCCTGTTTGGCTGTCCCACCAACGAGGGACAAGTCACTAGCAACATAAGTTATTAGGGCAATAAATGCATTCCTTAGAGATGACAACCTCGTCCGTCTCCCCCCTAGGGCGACAAACACCCACCGGGCAAATGCCAACAAGAGGACACCTGACGCCTCAAAAATCAGAGCCAAATTTGCAAAAAAAAAAAAAAAAAATAGAAGAGGGTAATACTATTGGAGCTCTGAGGCTTATAACCAGTGAGGATACCATCGCTCCAAAGGACGTCATTACAGCACACGCCTTGAAGTACAAAACATCCACCCAGGGCTCCCAGCACCAACATTGGCCTCCCTGACAATGCAGCAGGCGAAGAACATTTAACCTTACAGGATGCTGATGTGTATAAAGCTGCTATGTCATTTCCACAGGGCTCAGCAGGAGGTTTCACCGGTTTAAGGCCTCAACACTTAAAACAAATACTCAGTCCAGCACTTGGTGATGTTTCAGAAAGGCTGCTGTCTGAACTTACCAAATTTTCCAATACGTGCCTCTCTGGCAGTGTCCCAGAGGCCATTAGACCCCTTTTCTTTGGTGCCTTACTGTGTGCCCTCCAGAAAAAGGATGGAGGAATCAGGCCCATTGCAGTGTGCATAGTCGCCAAGGCTGCAGTGAGAATGGTGAATCAAAAGCCTGCCTCAGTGTCGAAACCAACTCAGCTCGGTTTTGGTGGTCAACAAGGCTGTGAAGCAGCTGCCCACGCATCACGAGTATATATCAACAACATGTCCTATGAAAAAGCCTTAATCAAATTGGACTTTGCCAACGCTATCAATTTAGTCAGAAGGGATGCTTCTCTCCACGCAGTTTCTAGAAACGTCCCTTCCCTCTATCCCCTAAACTGTTGTTTGGGGACCATGAAACTGACTCGTGTGAGGGTGTGTAACAGGGGGACCCTCTCGTCCCCTTTCTATTCTGTTTAGTCATCAAGGAAGTCACAGAAGAGCTCTCCAATGAGCTCAATATCTGGTTCTTGGATGATGGTACCTTAGCTGGCACTATAGAATCTCTCCTAGAGGACATCAGAAAAATTGAAGACATGAGAGAGAGCCTGGGCCTATCTTTAAACCCCACCAAATGTGAAATAGTTTCTACCAATCGACAGATGATCCAGAACATTAATGCTGTTTTACCAGGAGCACGAGCCATTGATCCAGCAAACAGCACTCTCCTTGGTGTTTGTCTTGGGTCCAATGCCATCGATCTGATCGTAGAATTTTTTTTTTCAAATCTCAGGACGATGGAACGCAGGATGAAAGACATCGATACACATGATGCCTTCTACCTACTCAGCAGGTGCCTGTCAAGCCCAAAATTTACCTACTTTCTGAGATGCTCCCCAGCTTACAGCAGTCCGAAACTCAAGGAATATGAGTATCCTTAAGACCATGCTAGAGAGTGTACTGAATCTTTCCCTCGAAGAAAGTACTCAAATACTCCCAGATTACCCTACCAATGCCATTACTGAATGGGAGACTCATGCTACTCCAGCACCAAAACCTAGAACAGCACTGGCCTACAAACAGTCAAGTTGGGATGGCCCCATCGCTGAAAAGGTACTTGCCAACATGCTTAGGACTGTAACATCAGACAGGGAGACTGCCCGTCTCCAAGCTGTGAGTGCACTTCACTCCGGGGACTTCCTTCAAACAGTTCCCATTTCAGCAATGGGAACACTCCTCAGTTTACACGGAATATACATATATTGCGGCCAAGCCGACCGCTATAGTGTACATGGTCTCAACTGTTTCAAAATCAATGGGGACCGTCATCCTCAGAGAAAAGAATAAACTTGCTCCAAGGAAAAACTCAAGGTTCTCCCCGGAACTGTTGAATATTGTCTTCTCCTACCACTCCTACATTCTATATTCTATGTAGACTTTATATAAAGTCAAAATACATTGACAATGATGAAATAGGGAGTAAAACAACATAGATAACATCTCAGAGCTATATCTCGAATACGTCGTCCTGTGATCCTTGGTTTCTGTGATAAGTTTTTCACCCAGCTCTTTGAGGAACTTTAGAGCACACTTGCCCCATGCTTCAAGGGTATCTGACCATTTTGGGATGAAGTTATAACAAGGGGAAAAGTCCTTCATATTTGCGGGTCTTCTGGGTCTCCCTGTAGCTGGTGGCTCCACCCCTTTCAGCTTCAGACAATAGCAAGTAGATGTCTGCCAATGTGGCAGCACAGATGTAGTCCCAGGCAATCTGCTTACCATCCTTTCAGGGTAGCACAGTGGCTCCATCACGACGCTTTTGACTTCCGACAGACCTTTGTACTTGGGATTCCCGGTCAGCTGGGCAATGGGCTGTGGCGAGGATCCTCTTTATGATGTCGTTGACCTCCTCTTGTCTAGCATACTTCACTTCTGATGTGTGACACACGAGACTATGAAGTCCAAAGTGATCAGCCGTCGCGCTGCCGCAAATTCACGAATGTTCGGTGAACATAGGGGCGTCCAGGCAAAGAGCAACACCAATCCGAATGGCCTGTGGGCCGAGCCGAGTGCTCGGAGAGGAATTGGGCACTCGGCTAGGAGACGAGCTTTGTTCCTTCCTGAAGCTTTGGTGACCACTGTGTTGGCGATTTTTTCCATGACCGGTTTGTTCTAGTGGGACTGTGTGTGCTCTTTGGGAGGAACTGGTCTACTGGAGGAGTTGCAAGGGTGTCCCACCGCACAGCTGCTTCAGTGAATCTGAGGTACGGTTATTTTCTTCTCTTAGGATGAGGGCCCTCAGTCCAGTTCTAGAGGTGGTACCTCCCTATATTTTTGTAAATATGCAAGGAATTTGCAAGAGCAGGCGAAATATACACAAACACTGATCTCTGGCCGAAGGAGACTCGAACCTACGAACCTTGGAACAAGGTATGCAGTGCTTTACCATTCTCACCACACTGGACCAATACCTTGGCGCCCAGCATGCACTAGACGTTGATCCAAGGCAGCCAGCTTTCAGGGAGAAGGCTTTGTTTGTGTATATTTCGCCTGCTCTTCCGAATTCCTTGCATTGTTAAAATCTCTATTAAGACCGATGCATGCAGGGGATGAGATGTAAAGCTGTAAGCCTTCTCCCTGAAAGTTGGCTGCCTTGGATCAACGTCTAGCGCAAGCTGGGCGCAATATATATATATATATATATATATATATATATATATATATATATATATATATATATATATATATATATATATAATATATATATATATATATATATATATATATATATATTATATTATATATATGCCTCGGTGGGAGACGACCGACTTTTTGAAAAAAAAAAAAAATATATATATATATATATATATATATATATATATATATATATATATATATATATATATATATATAATATATATATATATATATATATATATATAATGCAATAAGATCACAGTAAACAGGTGATTTCAGAATATGCAAGACATCCACTCTGAAAGAATAGAGAAATTCCAAGGGCTTTCGTGACTACTCACATTATCAAGGAACTATGAAAGTAAAGCATCCAAGGAAAGTATATAAGGGGTCTGGCCAACACCTCACTATCAGATCCCACAACGGTTAAACACCTGACGCGCGCCAGCCCAACTGGACAGGTCCTTTGCACAACCCACCAACAAACTATTCTACCCAAGAAAATTTTTAAAATTATTATTTGTCCAGTGTATTATTAAATTCTTCCCAAATTCTATTAATTATAAATGGATCTAATTTATATAAACCAAAGGAAATATTCATATTATTGTCAAAACTGTTTTTTATGAAACAAGATTCAATTATATTCCTGTCGATCATGGACTTGCTTGATACTACTTTCTCAACTTTTTGAAAATCAATTGGATGGTTAAAATCTCTTACATGAATAAATAGAGAATTGGAATCTTGTCCAGTTCTAATGCTATATTTATGATGTTTTAATCTTAGTTCGAGATTTTTACCAGTTTGACCGTAATAAACTTCATCGCAAATTTTACAAGGAATCTTATAGACACATCCATCAGCATTTTGGGGGGAATTCTTTATCAAAAGATTTTTTACTGTATCAAGATTTTTGAATACAACTTTAATATTAAAAGTCTTAAGAAGAGAAGGCATATCAACCAAGTTTTCATGGTAAGGGAGAACCAACATATTTTTAGTTGAATAAGGCTGGTTGTCCCTTTTTGGATTTTAAAAAGTATTTCTAGCAACTTTAAAAGATTTATCAATTACATTTCTTGGGTATTTTAAATCATTACCTATTTCATAAATTTTGGATATTTCCTCATCTATGAACTCAGGACTACAAATTCGTAAAGCTCTCAAAAACATTGATGGGAAAACAGACAGTTTGACTCTATCTTGATGCGAGGAATAATAGTGGACATAGGAACAGTTATTTGTAGGTTTTC